AAAAGGTTGTCAACGCATCTGTAACCCTCTGGTGTGGCAGATATCCATGTGCGGCAGTATCCACTTAACATCAGGTGAACCGTCTGCTGGTTTGACAACTTTTCGCATGAAAAAAAAAAAGAAAAAAAAAGTCCGCTATAAAGTGAGTTCTCCACTCAAGGCGCTACGTACCACAGTTTACAATACAATTTCAGGAACACTGAATCTTCAGGTGTCTTTATAGTCCCACAATATTTCACCAACTATATGAAATATTATAAAAAAATAATTAAAGTAGTACAAATTGTTGCGAAAGTTCCATAGTATTTTTTTTTTTCAATTTTGTAGTAATGTTATAAAACTATACAACACTACAAAGCTATACAAAGCGAATTGCAAATTGAATCATTTGAAAGTTAATAAAATTATTGACTTTCGAATTATTCATAATTATAGAGAATCGTAACCACAAAGTGTTAGATAAATTATACTGTTAGGTATAAGTTCAATGTTTAGGCTTTAAGATCCTTTAGAAGTTATTATTTAATTGCTAGATTATTAATCGAGGATTCAGCTATTGATTTTCTAGTTAATCAACTTAACCTCGTTGAATAATCGTTACGATGACACCATCAAATAGTTTGTAGTTAAATAAATTAATAAATGGTTAATAAATTAATCATTAATTTAGTGGATTAAGATTTTTGAATAACTTAAAGGCAAATCGCAAATTATAGGCAAAATCGCTGCGGTGATATTTGTATATTTTTAGATCTGAGAAAAAGATTATTTTGAACACCAAAATAATATAGTACGCTTCAATAAGTATTTTAGCGTATTGGTATTATTGACATATTAAGAACACTTTTTTATCTTATACAATATACATATGTATGTACGTACACAGCATAAGGGCTGACGATATTGCGATTTGAAGAAAAAAAAAATTGAATAGGCCCGAATACAATTTATTTCCTACATATTTGTAGGATGTTACTGTCACACGTTTCTGTACACATATTGTGATTACCGACTGTACAAAACAATTACTTTGAGACCATACAAACATATCATGTTTTTCTTCAGGACTCAACTATATAGGACTAATTTTTAGTGTTAGAGTTGGAGTTAATATTCATTTATGAAGCTATACTTCGTTTGGAAAAAAAATTACGTTGCGCGCGCCACAACCCCCAAAAACCGATATGATCGCTTTGCAACTAACTTCACTATATTACCATGGAAACCAATAACAACTTTTTGACATTTACCTATAAATCAATTGCAATTAATGTCTGTTTCTGTATTTGAGAGCTTTTACCATCTGCATTCTTACTATATGGGGGAATAGTGGTCAAATGCTGTGCATTTTATTAAAAATTATCGTTAGGTAAATAAAAAAGTATAACTTTTCTTGCCTGACGACCCAATTGGCGTAGTGGATAGTGAACCTGTCTCTAGCGACAGAGGGCAGGGTTCGATTCCCACAACTGGAAAAATATTGTGAGATGAACATATCGTTTTTTTAGTGTCTGGGTGTGTATCCATACTATCCATACTAATATTATAACCGCGAAAGTAGCTCTGTCTGTCTGTCTCGCTTTCACGCCGAAACTACGGAACCGATTTAAATGAAATTTAGTACACAGATTGTCTAGAGCCTGAGAAAGGTCATAGGCTATTTTTTATTGAAAAAAAAAATTAAGGAAAGATATTTATTTAAGGCGTACAAAGCGAGCGAAGCCGCGGGCGAAAAGCTAGTATATCTATTTTTTTATTTTATTTTCTTTTATTTCTTTTATTTTTTAAAAAAAAAATTGCCCTTACTTTAGGATAACATTATCCTGTGTTGTAACAAACATAAATTTCACACGGACATACACCCAGATGCGAAACAACATCTGTGGGTCGCACAAATAGTTGTCCTGTGTGTGAATCGAACCCACGACCCCAGACGCCGAAGACTATACCTTGACCACTGCGCCACGGAGTCATCTACTTATAATATGTATTTATTTAGAAGAGAAAATTACGGTTAAGTATGTTTATCAGTAACCTAGTACCAGAAGCTTTGCTTATTTTGGGACTACATGACGTTGTGTAAAAATATAGCCTGAAATTTTTTATTTATTTACATTCTATAATCGACGTTTTACTCGTGTAAGTCACACCTCGAAAAGGTTGTAAAAGAAACTTCGCTCCATTGTAGTTCGACTGTAGGTGTCAAAATTTATTGTCTATCGATTATACCTATCCGCTAGTTTTACGAGAACGTATATTCAAATAATGAGACCTATCCGCTAGTTTTACGAGAACCTCGCGTATATTCAAATAATGAGTGCTTTATTACGTCTGGCCGGTGACGGATTATCGTTTCTAAGAAACTCCTTGTGTTTGCTAAACAGGAGTTTTAGGGTTAACGTTAATTAGTGAGTTGAACGCGGTACAATGGGCTACCGGGAAAACGTTCCTTACCCCACTCAAATCATGAAGAGAACAATATGAATATTAACAAAAAAAGTATTAGAATCTACGTATTTAGAATATAATGGAGTTGAATTTTCAAAGCTCTTCTAAAAGATGGTTTTAGGTCTCGAATGGTTTTAGGTCTCGATGACGATAATTCCCTAATAAGCCAATACCAATATATTATATGTCGCACTGTTGGGCACAGACCTCACCTGTATAATGTAGATCATAAAGTAGGTGTTATATTGTCCCCTCAGCATTGGCAGACCATATCTTGGAAAACACTTTTTTATAACATTTTAAATATGCAGATTTCCTCACTATATTTTCCTTCAACAACCTCATATTTTATTGATTATTTTGTTGTTATTATATATTTTTTTAAAACATTGCCCTCACTTTAGGATAACATTATCCTGTGTTGTAAGGACATTTTACAAACATAAATTACACGAGGATAAACACCCAGATGCGAAACAACTATCTGTGGGTCGCCCAGATAGTTGTCCCGTGTGGGAATCGAACCCACGACCCCCGACGCCGAAGCCAATACTTGGCAACTGCGCACCGGAGTCATCTAACTTGATTATTCAAAGGCTGATTAATCATTTGAGACCTACTTTAAAAAGAGTCAAGTAGCCTATTACTAAGCACCGGCGACACCGAGTCATCTTAAAAATTTAAAGATATATTTCATTATATTTTTTGTAGTTATTTACGACCTAAAGTCAACAATAAAAACATGCGGTAGTTTTACTTGAATAGGGGCTTAAAATAAGCCAATTTTGAATATGGAGATTTGGACTTTGACTTGAAATTTAGACTAAATGACTTTATTTTTCAAATCAAAAGTGATTTTGGGGAATATTTTTTTTAATTTCGGCTAATGGGCATACACTAGTACAAGCGCTCAATGACGATTTGTTCACACAGCCAGTCGATACACAAATGCTGCCTGCAACCATGAAGATCGTTAGAAAAAGAAAACATTGTACAACATAAATTAAAAAAATTTCAAATTTCGAATTCGGCCCGGAGCGCTGTTATTTTATTACTTGAACTTCCACCACCGAGCAATATGTAGGTGCAATTTAAATGTTCCCAAGAACGTTCCGTTTGAGCGCTTTTTTTGAGAGAAAATTGTTTAATTATTTATTTCAAACGAAAAGAGGGAACTATATTTAGATGTATTTAGCGTGTTTATTCTGGAGGAATGTTTATTTTTATGACTCGAGCATCGTTGAACTGTGACCTTTGCCGTGTTGAAAATAATTTATATCGCGTGTGTATCGTGTTCATTTATGAATTCTACACTTTATTACTAATACGATATATTCTTGGGAATTTATTATTTATCTTGCTCACGGTGCTTTTCGAAATGTACAAGTACATTTAATTTTTGACGATTATAATCATATTAAATTATAAAATAAAAAAAAGTTTGTGCGTACTTATGTACACGCGTTAGAAGTTATACTTCTTTGGTGTAACAAGATAAAGATCTTTTCGAAAATTTTATCTTTCGCCTTATTCTACGTTTGTAGAAAAAACGACAATAACAATAGGTAAAAGGTATTTAGTACATTGAAAGTTTTATAATAACGCATTATCTAGTTAAATAAAGCTTATTTAAATATCACAAAATAAATATCGTGCAGTTGTCAGTTCTCACGCAAACTTCAGACTTAGATGTTTAGCAAACTTCAGACTGTCGGTTTTTTCGTGACGGTGTGCGCGCGCATCGTAAAAATTTACTCTCATCATTTTTCCCTAACGCGCCAAAAGAAGTATAACTTCAAAAAGCTATCTTCGTTTCCGTGTTATTAACAAAATTTCACCCGATAGGTACTCCGTGATAAGAGAAATGAGGCCTTATTTGGTGTTTGTTAAGGGATTCGAACCTATGACAAAAAACTCTAAGCAGTCAGACTTCAAATTTATTTCTATTTATTCTTAGATAGAATGAGGTCAAGCTTGAGTTAATACGGTGTAAATATAATATAATACAAATCTTGTTTCTTTGTTTCAGGTTAATTAACGGGCTAAAAGGTTTCTAGTGTAAAATTACGAAGTTCTTTGCCAAAAGTATCTCATAAATGTTTAGATAATCAAGTACTAGGATTATATTTCTGAAATTATTTCCAGTAACATAAACACTAGTGGGCTAGTTTATGATAGTTGGGTAATGTTTGTTATTGGAACTTTCGGCTATTTATAAAACGTGCGTGTCAGAAATATTTGTATGTTCAATAATATAAATTAAACGATATCTATCAATATATTCTTTTACAATTTTTATTAGTGATGATAATAATAATGCATGTGTCCATTCATAAATAAAAATGATGTTCATTAGGCTAGTCTCATAATAAATTAATTAAAAAAATGGAAGTGTCGAAAGTGAAAAATTTGAAGCTCACGTGGAAATACAAACGCGACATCCAACATTAAATCTATTTAAAAAAAGAACAACACTGGCAGATTATCAAACGGGCGTGATAAATAAAAAAATTACAAAATTGACTTCCGACGAGCGTCACCGAGAATTCAAAATGGCGTCGCCGTCAACAACCCCGAAGGCACCGTCGCCGCCACCGTCTGGACATGGACCAAGCAAAATGGAGAGGAGAATGTCGCACTTCAAGGAATACAAATTCTTCAGAAGCTTCAGCGCCAAAGTAGAAAACTGGCCTATGAGAAAGGCCGAGCAGCTGTGGAGGAAAATGAGGGAGCGGAAAATTGCAGGTAAGAAAACTTCATACAAATTTCCATTACTACCGCCTTTTCACGGCGATAGTTCTTTAATCATTGCCTTCACTACATAGTATAATCAAAGTCGTCCCGCTGTCTGTCTGTCCCTATGTATGCTTTGATTTAAAACTACGTTTTTTACTAGAAGACGTTACGTTTTTTACGTTTATTACTACTATTAGAGTGATTCAAGAGGAAGGTTTACATGTATAATACAGGGTACAGTATTTATATGTATAAATACACTGTACCCGTGCGAAGCCGGGGCGGGTCGCTAGTATTTAATATAAGAGAAAATGAAAGCAAATTGTTTTGGAACGTTCCATGATAGAATCAATAGGAGGTAATTTTCAATAACATTAAACTAAAATATCATCGTTTCAGCTGCATCGTTGTTTCAAAAAGTAAACCATTCGTATTGTAATTAAGATAAGCTTCTTACGCTTATTAAGTTTATTTTTTTGTTAACTTTATTGTTTATATATTGGTCCAGTCTCGGCACTCAAGATGAAACTTAAAATGTGAATTTTTGTAGATAAAAGAACAAAACTCTTTCGGTATTTTTGATTGCATCCATTGACAATGCCAAGCATTGCAGAATACCTTGCGTAAAATAACGTTCCGTTGTAACATAGAACGAATTTGATTTTATCGTCGGAAAGTCTTAATATTGTCTACGCTTTTGATAACATATTTTTTTCATCTGAATTATGGATATTGAGATTCAGAATAGAACAGCGTTTTACGTGATTTCTGCTACGCAGTATACACAGGTTTTTTTTAACTGACTAGACTAGGCTTACTAATGTAATATAAGAGTGTAAAATACTATATTAGAGAAAATTTAATTTTTTACTGAAGTATCACAGTCACCCACATTTTTATGGTTTAATCGTAGAAAAAAGTGCTACATGCGTATATGTCATGAAAGTTACTGAGTGTTATTATTCATTCAAAAACTTAATTGTTTATTTATATACCTAATTAGCTGCTGCCCTGATTACGTCTGCGTAGAATAGGCTGAAGGCGTAACATTCAGACAGTAAGTCAGATGTACATAAAATATGTATATAAATTATAGCTTGTCTTATTCTGATGTATAAGCTATATTATTGTAAAGTTTCATTTAAATGCATTCAGTAGTTTTTGCGTGAACGAGTAACATCATCCATCCATACATTCAAACTTTCCAATTTATAATATTAGTAAGGATAATATTACAAACCAAACCAAAATTGTAATAGCAAAACTATGAACTAAATAAAAAAAATATTCTTTGAACCGGCCGTCAAAAAATAATATTTTATTTTTGAAAATATATTTTTATTGTTATGCAGATGTAACGTTGTTCTACGCAGGGTACGTTATAAAAAAAATGTCAAGATTTTCGTGACATTATTGGTAGAGCTTAAATGTAACGCAAACTCAAAGAACACAGGTTCGATCCCCCGCAGTGTCGAAAGTTTTTATTCATATATCTACAAAATCTCACAAATTAAGTGTCACGATAAAAAGAGAAAAAGAATCTCGCCCAACGTGGGGCTCGAACCCACGACCCTGAGATTAAGAGTCTCATGCTCTACCGACTGAGCTAGCCGGGCTTGTTGTAATTGGTTAAATTTAAGGTTTAGTTTGAGAGTGATCAAAACATTATGCACGTGCATAATGTTTTGATCACTCTCAAACTATCTACGATGACTCCGTGGCGCAGTTGCCAAGGTATTGGCTTCGGCGTCAGGGGTAGCGGGTTCGATTTCCACACGGGAAAACTATACGTGCGACCCACAGATATTTGTTTCGCATCTGCGTGTTTGTACATTTGAAATTTATGTTTTTAAAAACGTCCTTAACGATGCAGTGCCAATTTTCATAGCAATCGGTACCTAATGGAGTTTAGCGGTTTCATATTAACAAACATTCATACATAATGTTACACCAAATAATACTATGGGGCATAAAGTTTCAATTTATTTTAACGTATCCCTACTATGTGATATGATTTTGTTTTTGCTCTTCAAGAAACGCTAAATTATATAATTATTTTAAACTCTAGTGTTTAGTTTTAAGTGTTATTTAATTGAAATAATTAAAAAGAAATACGTTACGGTAATTGTTACGTCGTTGAAGTAGTAATTTTAGCATTTTAGATTTTTATTTGTTAGAATTTAGAATTTATTGTAATCTTATTTATTTCTTACGAAACACCACCTTAGTACCTATACCTGCTTAGATTAAATGGTTGTTTTTTCTTAATTATTATCTTACAGTCGTATATTATCATCAAGAAGCACTTAATATTATTATTAAAAACAAAACAAAAAGCTAAAAAGAAAAACACGCCCAACGTGGGGCTCGAACCCACGACCCTGAGCTTAAGAGTCTCATGCTCTACCGACTGAGCTAGCCGGGCTTCTTAAAACATTGTGAATATAAGATTAAGAAGCAATTATCGCTTAAGAATTTTATATAACACACAAATAAATGTCCGTCTGTACGTCGTGCATCCAGTTCTTCTACATGGTTTCGATGTGGGTTTCTTAACGCTTCATGGCGCTGGCATCACAACGACCAATACTTATGCCCCTTTTTACCATCGACCCCTAACTTTAAAGGACCACCTAAATACGTGTCGAGCCCTTATTTCTAAAATACCGTTTAAGACTAAAGTAAATGATGAAAACGAAAGTAACACTTAAATTCTTTAGGTGGTGCCTTAAAGTTAGGAATCGCGACAAACATGATGATAATCACACCACTAGTCCAATTTACATTAATTATTCAAAATTTACAATTGACCTTACACTCCAATAATACATATTTATAAATAGGGTTTAAAATTTTGATGCATCTATTGCAACACCATCTAGACACAACAGTCACTCCCTACTGTTGGAGCTACTGCAAGTAGAATAAAATGTTTGTATGTCTGTATATCTTTGTGTGTATGTATACATACACAAAGATATACAGACATATCTACATACGTATGTCTATATACGTGTTAATGTATATCTGAAAAATTAAATGCGGTTTTGGCTTCACTGAATACGAATAAGTAATAATAATAATACATAAATTAAGTACGAGTATTATGCGTAATGGTTAAAACATCGAAAAAGGTTGCTAATTCCGAAAACTTCAATTTCCTCACCCCAGTTCGAAGAAGCCTTTCATCCATTAAATAATAATAAGGGACGTTGTTTACCAAGCAAACTCAATAGCTCCTGTCTTTAATAAAGTCAAAAAATTATTTTCATGATGCATGTTTCCTGTAAAGAATATGAACAAAAGAGCTTTTATCAAAATCTCCCAAAGTTAGAATAATTTCTAGCTCAGCAAAGTTTTATGTTATTTAAAATCGGATAGTGAAAAGCCAAGGGAATACACACTGAAGATCATGTTCTTAAATAATACTCGATAAAGACATAAGAGCCATATATTTAGACGTATTAAATAAAACTTGCCCGATCTTCGACATCCTCATGTCAAGTGGAGGAGTTTAAGTAGGAAAGCAGATCCTTGCAATTGCTGGGATAAATGCTAGGTAGAAGAAGATTTAGACGTATTAAATAAAACGAAAATAGAAATAAAAGCAACTCTGTGGAACCAGCTGCCGCCAGCGGTCTTTCAGAACTGTTACGACCTGGGAATCTTCGAGAAGAGAGCATAATCTTTCCTAAACGGCCGTCAACGCATTTGTAAGCCGTCTGGTGTTATAGGTGTCCATGGGCGGCGGTGACCACTTACCATCAGCTGAGCCTCCTGCTCGTATGCCCCTTTTCTCCATAAAAAAGAAAAAAAAAGAAAAGGAAATATATGACTCTAATTAAATTTAACATTATTTAAGTATTCAAAATAGGCAATCACGTATTTCCTCTTTCTTAAACATAAAAGGCAAATAAAAACCTAAAGAAAACATTATTTATAACTTCCATTAATTAAAATTAAACTATTAATGTACTAAACAAAAAAAATGGGTGCGTTTACATATGTACGCGCGTGAGATGCTATACTTATTTGGCATCACTAAAAACAGTTTTTAATTGCATGCAAATAATTAACTACAATAAAAATAAAATGACTGTAAAAGGATATAAATAATATAAAACTATGAAACCGCCATACATTCTTTATTGAGAACTGTAACGGGCGAATGTGATTGAGAATATGCTGCCATCTATAAATAAATAAGCGGTTTAGAGGGCAGTTTCAAAGGCTATTGTGTTACAGTGACGCGCGCGCATCTTAAAATTTCACTCTCACCATTTTTCATAACGCGCCTAAAGAAGTGTAGCTTCAAAAAATGTTTATATGTAAAATGGAAATTTTACTTTTACTACTACTTCTACAACTTACTTTTACTAATCTAATATATTAAATTCTCGTATCACGGTGTTTGTAACTGAACTGCTCCGAAACGGCTCGACCGATTTTCGTGAAATTTTGTGTGCATATTGGCCAGGGATCGGACAAAATTAATTTTTCATCCCCTTTAATGTTAAGGGTGGTCCACCCCAAACATTTTTTTATACCCTACAATTCTTTACTAATATAATAAAGGTGAAAGTTTGTATGTATAGATGGATGTTTGTTACTCCTTCACGCAAATACTACTGAATGGATTTACTGAAACTACAATAATATAGCTTATACATCAGAATAAGAGACATAGGCTATAATTTATATATATTTTATGTAACAGATTACATCAGGGAGACAGATCTCCCTGTCTTAATGTTACACCTTCAGCCTATTCTACGCAGACGTAGTCGCGGGCAGCAGCTAGTAGTTTATATGGCAAAACAACGTTTGCCGGGTCAGCTAGTAGTTCTATATGATGATCCTTATTCGAATAAAACATTCAACGTTAATACTATTGTTTCAGTGTGTTGATTTGTAGTCTTTCTACGGCTACCCGAATTTCTTAAAGTGCATCGCTCCGCGTGTTCCCTTCAACTCTCATCTCATTAAATCCTTACTAATATTATAAACGCGAAGGTTTGTATGTATGAATGGATCTTTGTTACTCTTTTACGCAAATACTACTGAATATATTTTAATGAAACTTTACAATAATGTAGCTTATTCATCAGAATACACATAGGCTATAATTTATATACATATTTTTATGTGTATCTGTCATTCTGTCTGAATGTTACGCCTTCAGCCTATTCTACGCAGACGTAGTCGCGGGCAGCAGCTAGTAATCTAATATAAGTCTTACTCTAAGCCTTGCTCTCAACAATTAAAAACTTTTAATATTGAATAGCATATTATCACAGTTATATTCCAAATTATATGATTTCCGTTAACCCTATTATCTAAACGCAAACACGAGAAACAGTGAAACAAAATTTCGAGCACACGTAACAAATAAGCGTGTCTCTTTTTATAATACACATTTAAAACATCTCGTGTCGTCCATATGGTGCGTGTTTGAAGCCGCTTTGATTGCGAGCCGGGTTAAATAAAATCGGACGTTCGTTGGGCGGCTAAGTCTGCGGTATGCTGTTGGAAACAAACTCTTTATTGCGAGTTAATGTGATTAATAGTGTAATTAGGCGGGCGTTTTATGCGGCGTTGCGTGCTTTAATTGGCGATAATAAAAGTGCAGATCGCAAGTGAAACGTGTGGGGCGGCTGAGGTGCACGCTTCAAACCTGTTTCGTTTCTTTGCACGAAATGACCAAGAATACACTTGGTGGTATTGCTATTATCGTGGTGCTAAACGTATTTTCTTCTGCACTAATAGTCTAGCTCGTTCGGGGAAGCACAACGAAACAGAGGACGTAGAGGCCCAGCCTCGTAAATGTTGGTAACGTACCGTAAACACTCGGGTGGTGGCGGTGTAATGTCCATGAGTGCCGTTAAATAACTATTTCCCATCAGGTCAACCGCATGCATATAAACTTATAAACAACATATAAACTTCTCGTTAACTATTCCCAAGAATCACTGTTTCCAATTCTTCTCATTAGAACGGAGATCAAGACTCCATTTGTCTATGTTAGAAACCAAATACTTTTCCAGGGCACACACTGTCCATTTAAAAAAAAAGAAAATAAATACTGTCAAAATATCTTATGAAGTCAAGCTTAATGTATGCAACACGCATATTCCATGCAGAAACTCGGCGTGCATATGCCCGAAACTGCGTTCTCTATTTTAATGAAATGAATTTAAATAGTTATTAAAAGTATTTGTGATATATTCAATGTACTCGAATAACCTGTCAATTTTAAGTGTTGACTCATCTCATGTGCTTAACGGTGAAGGAAACATTATGAAGAAATCGTCAGGTGTCCGAAATAATAAGACGAAGAATCTAAATTATGTCAAGTCTGCTAATCCGAGAAGTAGAACATATATTTTCTATTATCTAACGTAACTCTACGATCAAATGTAGACATATGCTATTGTTGCATAGGAAAAGCCATGTCTGCAAAACTTTTATATCAGTATATGCACGTTATGTAGCGTCTAAACCGCATTTGATCAAGAAGTGAATCGTGGACTTTGCCAGCCTCTATCTACGGAATGGCAGGACCTAGCTAAGTGGCTACGTGACAAGATGCGAAATTACAAGCTGCTAATGGTTGCACCCCACTCTAGCGAAGTTCTAACACGGAGCAAGTTAGCGACACTGTATTGATCGACGCAGTGATGCATGAATATTTCACTCCATTAGTTGTAGAAAACGGCGCATTTCTGATGCAATGTTACAGGCCTCGACGCTAGTGGCTTTGACAGAGACAGTTACGCTTTATCCGCCTCACGCAGATTTTTTTAATAGAAATGAGATAGTGATCTTACACACACCTGATGATTGATCCTGAAAAGATGCGTACATGCTGGAATTTTGCAAAACGTACAGACAAAAGTCAATTAATTATCTTTCCGATTTCTAATATCCGTACGCTACCTAAAATTTGTGTACGACAGTAGGCAAAGTCGTTGCCGCAAACAACCTTCGTTCTGGGGCTTGTGTTTGATACAAAGTATAATAGCACTAACATAATAGCACTAGCCATCCCTGCCTAATTTGGTAGCATTAACATACTAATTACTTGTATTCTGGTATAAATTTGTGTTAAATTCTGTTTCTTATTAAAACTTCTCTTATACGTAATAAGTTATAGTTATAGCCAAGCAAACAGTTGCCATTTAATTAAACGACCACTGACGCGTATTTCAACGTACCACTATTATTCCAATCCATCCCCAATAGAATGGATCTACTTTGATAGGAAGCAAACGTCAAGCAGACTTGACAGATCAAAACAGTGTCCGTTTGTTCAGATAGAAGGTACGATAGGGCTATTTATTTCGTATGAGTACGGTCCTTGTGGGTGATCAACCCTAAACACATCTCTTATATGTATAAAAACAGGCCAAGTGCGAGTTGAACACGCGCCCGAAGGGTTTCGTGCATAAAAAGACAAAAAATAATGTGTGTTGTATGGGAACCCCTCTAAAATATCTTTTTAAATTTGTTTTTTGTATTTGTTGTTATAGCGGCAACAGAAATACATGTTCTGTGAAAATTTCAACTGTCTAACTATCACGATTCATGAGATACAGACTGGTGACAGACGGACAGACAAACGGGCCGACAGACAGACATACAGCGGAGTCTTTGTAATAG